AATCCCTTTAGCTGTGTTTGGAATTTGTGGTATCTTTGTCCTTTCCAAACCAAGCCATTCTGTGGTTCTACAGTTCTTCTCATTGATGCTGTAAGAATACATTTCTATTTGCCTGATTTTCTGTTTCCTAATTTGATAGCTCATCAGGATGCTAATGCTGAATATAACCTGTTAAATATCATCCTGCAAGCACAACAGAGAAGACTTTCAAGTATTTGCTTTTAGATACACCTGTTCCTTCCCCACAAATTAGCTGTAGCTGATAAAATGGAGCAGAATAGCCAAGTATCAGAAACACAGCTTACTGCAGAGGTCAGAAAGTTAACATCAGATTTCTGTAATTCACAGGAGGCATGAGACATTAAGAGTTACTGTCTCATTCGTGTAACAAAGATTGTGTCTAGAAAATAAAATGGTACAATATTTATCTGTTCTCATGAGAGTGTTCATCATAAGATGAGAAAAGAGCTTTGAAGATCATTCATCTAATGCTATGAAGAATTTTAGCTGCACAGTCCAACACAGAAGTGGCAGGTAATTGCACTTTTTAAAGCAGAGCAAAAAGACACATCAAAAATCCTAAAGGATTACAAGGAGTATTGTATGCTTCATTAGCAGTCAGAGCTTTAGTGTTCCACCGTGTAAAGTGTTGGAGAAAATCCAGAATCTTTATATCCTGTGACTTGGGAGAGGGCGTCCCAAATTAGAGCAGGAGGCAGCAGGCACAAAATTATGGATATCTCATCCCTGGAGAAGTTTAAGGCCAAGTTGGATAGGGCCCAGGGCAACCTGATCTAGCAGTTGGCAACACTACCTGTGGCAGAGGGGTTGGAACTTGGTGATCCCTGAGATCCCTTCCAACCTAAGTTGTTCTATGATTTTATGATGTCCTTGCCTCCCCATACATCCCACAGGCAAAACTCATTTCCCATGAGCAAATCCTATGGAATCAAATTCTTATAGTACTGAGCAAATTCAGCAGCGCACAATGTTAATTTGATTTAATCCTTCTTCCAACTTTGAGAATTTTTGTAGCCTTGCTCTGACTTTACACTTCAGCAAAGAAATTTGTTGCGACTCTGCTAGGCAGAGTGGACTTTCTATAAGCCTGTAATGCTTAGAACTGGCAGGCTGGTTTAATTCCTTCAGCAACACTCTTTGCTGCTTCATTCAGGATGCACATCTAGACACTTATTAACTCAGAGCAAACATTTCCTCTGATAAACTCTTAATTCATTTATGGACTTAATTCTGGTGGCAGTTAGTATCATGTAACCAAATTAGCTTTATTAACCCTTCTCTAACCCTTCATGTTTTTTTTTTGCCATTCTTGGCATTTGAATACTGTATGTTTTAAAATGCAGATAGATTGACATTGCATGGCCAATTGTGTTATTTCCAATACTTTTTTCTGATATATACATTTGCCATATTTTATTTTATTTTTTTTTTACAATCTTCAATAACCTTTTTAATTGGTAATACATAATCCCTATAGGAAAAGCTATTTGATTTGTGGAAAAGAAAATCTACTATGGCTTTTTTCTAATTGCCTCTTTGTTGTTTGTGTTTTGAAATATTATCCATTAATCATTTGTAAGCTATTAATATCAATTTTACATCCATTAAAAAACTGTTCTGAAACAACAAGAGTACATAAAAAAATAAAAGCTCATTATGTTGGACAAGGTTCATAAATAAGGCAAAAGTATAGCATATGTGCTAGTTTGTGTGTATGGATATATCTGTTCCTAAACTGCTATGTCTAAAGCATCTGATTGCAGTTTCAGGTTATAATTTAATCATAAAAATAGCTTGACAAATTTGGAGTGAAACAAGATTTTCAGTAAATATGGTAATGCATTAAAAAAATCTTGATTTCTTAAGTGTTGTCATTTTTATTACAGGACATTTTAACATTTCAGATTTGTTCCTCTTTTCTGAATGAACAGAGATCTCATTATGGTGTTTTTCATAGAAAGAGATTTGTTGTTTGTTTTTTTTTTTTTTAATTCAAAACAGTTCTGACAGTATAGAATAACAATTATAAGTTTAGTTGAATTGTTCTTAGTTTAACTACTCTGTCCAGAGGTCTTACCTTTATTATTTCTCCAGATCAATAACCCTCACACTACAGTAAACAAGCCTTCCCTTTAGGATTTTAAAACTGCTTACATTTCATCATAAAACTCATCCAAGACCAAATATTTATCTGTGCCTGGCATAGTAGTCAATTGTGATGAGAAAGGAAGTTCCTCAAAGAGGATAATGAAAGATTAATATTACAAGTGGGAATCAAAACTACAGCTGCAGAATGTGTTCTCTGGCAGCCTGTAAGATAGAAAGACAGCAACAAAAAATGTGTCTTCTTTTTGATAAGTCCTCCTATCCCTGTTTACTTCCTAATACTTTTCTTTCATAATATAATTTCTACATGATTTAAGTAATAGATAGGTGTCCATTGCATATTTATGTTCCATTTCTATCAATATTTCTAAAGAGAAGGTAATCATATCCGAATTACAAACATATCATATGTTGGTCCACACAGTGATGAAATACTTAAAATCCAGAACACATGGATGCTTATATGAAAATGAGGAAACAAAGAAATAAGAATGAAATGGAACTAATAAACCAATATAAAGGAACACACTAACTGATGTAGTGTTTCTAAATGCATAACTTGGGGGCAATCACTGCATTATGTGAGCCATAGGAGCTTATTTTCTGACATTTTATTTTTTTCTGCTGAGACTAAAAGAAAGAAAATAAATCTGAAAGAATGGCTGACAAAAAAAGCTGACAGATACAGAGATTTCAGCCATGCACACATCTCAAAGACTTCTTTAAAAATGTATAAAATGACATCAAAAACAAAAGCAAACAGATAGTTAAAAAAGATTTAAAACTAACATCTCTTGAAATTTTGCCCTGGAAGGCCACTGCTACATAAGACTTAATATAGTTTAAATCCCTGGCCTCAAATTAAAACAAGGAGACGTGCTCCATATTAAGTATATTTTATAATGTAACCTCGATTTCAGAGTGGATGTCTGTCTCTATCATTAAATAAACACCTATTTTATTGTTCTTTTCTAAGAATTAGAATAAAGTATGTTCCATCACATGAACAAGTATAAAGTTTTCTCACTGTGATCATGAACAATACTTTTGACCAAGTTATTCATCACCAAAGCAAGTTAAATAATTAATCCTGACAGCAAAATTAGTTGAAGGAGAAGAAAACACATTCTCTGAAAGTGCATCATATTTTCCCCAAAACTGTTGGCTGCTATACACTGATTCAGGAAAAGATATGTTATTCACAGATATTGTACAAATTGTGTTCATTGTTAATTGAGGTGTGACTCATAAAATGGGATTTTTTTCTTGTATCTGGCCAAAAGTGATCTCCACTGATTTAGGCGATCTTTAGGAAACATCCTTTATTGTTGGTTTAGTCTGAAAGTGTATGAAGAGCAATTAGTAGTGGATCATTTCACTCCTATTTGGAAGCTATTATCGTTTGCGCTTGAGAACCGAAGACACAAAAGCATTGACAGTTGCCTAGATTCTTAGAGGGACAGGATATTTGGTCCCATACCTATGACTGCTCCAGTTGTTAGCACAGATAACATAAGAAGATTTTTGTCACTGTAAAATAACTTTGATTTTTTTCACCATATTGATGTTTCTTACTATGATGGTTCATTTTCTACAAAAATTATGAAAGATGTGTTAAATTGGGAAGTATCTCATTCTGAACCTTCATGAGTATAAATCTCTTGCCTAATTGATCATAACTACTTTACATCTTTTCCAAGATGATTTTCCTTGTCTACAAGAGGCAATGACAGATGCTTAAAGGTTATTAATATGTTAGGAGATATGATTTAAATCTTTTCTGTAGTCTGGATAAGGAAGACAGTTGTCCTTATAGCTTTGTTATTTACACAATACAGTTTAACAGTGATTCATGCTGCAGATCTGTACCAGGAAATAAGAATGCATTTCACCTGCAATTTACAAACAAGTGAAACATTTTCCCTTGCTGTTTATTCATCCAGAATGGAGCTTCATTATAGAATACTGGCAAGCAGATGAAAAAAGTTAAAAAAATAAATAAATAAATACAAGTTACTTCTCAAAGAATATTTTCAGAGTAACGAATTTAAAATTTAGCTCTATCTTTTCATTTCCAATGTTTTGTTCATCCACTAAATCTAGTCAAATGTAAGGATGTGCACAACATCCATACAAGGCAATTTTATCTCTTGCAATTTCACACTGTATATGTAATGTGTTACAGAAATCCCCAGCTCTGCTGCATTACCTGCCTCTGCCCTTTTTGGGTGGAAAGTGGGCAGATATTGACTGTTTTTCCCAGATAGGAAATAGAAGAGTGAAATGCTTACATTTGGAAAAGATAATGTCCTGCAGCAGATTGAGAACTGGGGGCTGTTCAGGGTCCTCTTCTTGTTTTCACATGGTTCTTCTACCAACTCTGTTCACACTGAAGACAGCTAAAGACAGCTCCATCACAAATGTCCTCTATTTTAGGAAGGTTGCATTTTTTTTTTTATTGATCTAAGTAGCTCTTTACCTTGATAATTTTTTACCACCTGCTTCCCAAATCTAGATATGTAACAACAGCCAGCCTGAAAAAGACTGTACTATTGCAATTCTTTAAAACTGCAGGGCAGTGTGGGGAACCCCTCCACGGATATTGTCCCTTTTTATTACATCTGGTTCCTATAGGGAAAACCAGATTTTAGAAAGCATGTTTTCCTAGTACAAAAGTTCAGTTCTGGGTGGGTTTCATTTATTTTATATCAAGAAACAGCCATACCTGAATTCAACTTCTCAGAAAACATCTAACTTGGATAAAAACATGTATGTGTCATAGAATACTGCCCCACCAGCACAGAGGCTTCATTAGACATGCATCTACTGTAAAGATATGGTGAGCCTCTTCCAAAAATTTACTTTATAGTGTCCACCAAAACAGAGCAGGGATAAGCTGGGCGCTCCAGTGTATCTTGGTGCATCCTTACACCACTGTTAAGAGCAAAAGGAAAAAAAATTTAAATGCCTATTCTTCAAGCAATATATGCTGAAAAAATTAATGTAGTCTCTCCCCGGCCCCAGTCTACCTCTTAAGATCCCTCTCCAGACCTAAAAATCCAAGGCTGGACATGAGCTAAGCATAGTTGTAAGAGGTACCATTCAATCCAAATTCATGCCTATTTTAAGGTCTTTAAGAGAGTGATTACTCTCCTGATCAGTGGTTGTACAAATTAGAAAGCTGTGGTAGAAAGCGGGGAAGAGGGGAACAGGAGGTTCACTATGTTAGCATCACATTTCTTACCATTTCTGAATAGAATTGTGAGTAAAGCGGCAACTGTTCAAGCTTACAGAATAGGCTTAATCCAGGATGGATATTAATTTCCACTAGTCACAAATATGGCCAAGCCACTTAGTTCTGCTCTAAAGGACTTTGTAACTATTAGCAACAGAAAAAAAAAAAAAAAAAAAAAACCATTTTAAAAAACAATGTTAATAAAAAAAAAAAAAAAAAAAGGAGAAAAAAGTCTTAAAACACTAGAAAATCTTTTTGAGATGGCTTTCTTTTCTCAAACTAAAGGTGCAGAAATCTTTTGAAAGATTCACAAAACCTTTTTCTGGTTGCAGCTTCTGTTGAAGTAAAAACACTTGCCTACAAACTATTTTCTGTTCTCTTAACAATAATTTAAACTCATAGCCTACATTGTAATGGTTTCCTCCTTTATAATAGCCAGCAGGAGCACATCCAATGTCACCTCCCCCTTGCAAAGCATAGCAGATTGTCCCATTGGATCCTGTTAAATGAGTTTCAGCTAGGAAGCTTCAATATTGTTTGAAAATAAGTTTCCATACAAGAGGGTTTCCTGAAGAAAAGGTTAAAGATAAGTCATTACAATACAAGCCAATCCTCTCCTTATCATGCGAAATAAAGCTTTTGGTTAAAAACATACCCATGTTCTGAAGTCTATCATGTTTACTTGATGAAAATAATAAAGTCTCTTGGACAAAAATCTGTTTCTTTAACTTAAGATACATAATCAGTAACTTTGTGAGGCATTCAGGCTACATTTTCACTAAGAAGATGCTTTATTCTAACACATCCATGTCTCTTCTAGGGTAAATCTCTGTTGTCAGCTACACTAAAATAGTATTTTCAGCTCTTGTTTTCATAACATTAGTCCTACATGACAGCTTTGTATCATCTGACAACCCTAATCCATCTCAAGGTTAGAATATATTTTGTATTTCAAATCTCCCAAATCTCTGACCACTTAGTCTAAGTAGGATTAACATAAGCACCAGAAACCACAGAGAAGCAGCAAAAGCCAAGATTACACTTTGATCTGCTCATGTAGACATTTGCTGAACTTCAGCAATACAATGAGCAGCAGAGCAGGGCAGAACAGAAAAGCACGAGCTTCAGAGTAAAGCTTTGTGACATGTGTACTTCGGTAGAAAATAACCAATTGCATTGTATGCTTCATCAAAATATCTTACCTCAAAAGTTAGGATAAAAGTACCAAAATTGTTCTTATCAGTGAAGCAGAAACAAATTTCACTTCAACAGAATTGTTAGTTCCCTGAACAGACAGAAGTCACTGGGGAAAAACTCTTCCAATGCTAGTGAATCCATGCATTCTATACATGCATTACTATGAATCTGATTGAGAAGACTTTGTCTGTGGGTAAAAGCAGAGAGATTACCTCTAGCAATTAATACCACTATAAAATTCAGTTGACAAGGTTGTCTTAGCAATGTCTACTGCATAACAAAACCAGAATCTGTTTGCTACACCCTGAAACTCAGTGCTCATACACTGCTAACTAGTACTGTGAAATTATTGTACTAACCTCAATAAAGCAGAGTATTATTTTAAATATTATAAAACTGCCAGGAATGCTAATAAAGAGGACAAGGTTGGAAACCATGAGGGATGATAGGATTCTGAAGTACAATAAAAAGGGATTACTTTTCTTAATAAAAAGGGCTTTCCTGAACCTTGCAAGTCCAAAGCACTGAACTCTTCATTTAGTTGTGAAAATTCCTTTTTTTTTTTAAGCTCATATGCAGTGAAATGCCCTGCTGAAACACCTTGCATCTTTTCCACTCCAAAAGCGAGTCCCACAATAAGATGTAACAAGAAAATCACCTTTGCTCTATAGTTCTTAGGAGATTTCTATGGGCAAAGGCTAGATCAACTAAGATATAGTCTATTTTAGAAACAAGCGTGTTTTACAATAAACATCTATTTTTCCCAGTGTCACATCAAAAACAAACCATCATGGTTTGTTATATTTTTCAGTTTTGGAAACATCTATGAATTATAAGAAATGTATATAAAATTCCAGCTGAATACTGGAATCCATCAAAGATTTATTTTCTCTGTTACAGTTGTTTTTAAATTGCCATGTTTCACACTTGGCAAAATTCTGATTATTTTAAATGGGAAGTGGCATCTGCTAAAGTCTGCTCAAGTGCTTCTTCACTTTATGTATACAAGGAATTCAAATGTGGGCTTTGCATGACAGAAAAAAAGGATCCTACCCATCAGGTTACTGCCTTTCTCAAGCTGTCTTACTGGAGATTTTCTACGTAACTAATTAAATAGCTAGTAGGAGAAAAATAGTGAGAAGGATGGTAGTCTTACCATCTTTCATGTAATTAGTATTTTTGGGGGGAGGTGAAAGGATGGGGGGGTTACTGTTCATTAAATTTTAATGAATAACTTTCAAGATAATACATGTCCAACTTCTGCTCTCAGTCACTATGGCGTAGAGCTAGACTAATAAGATAAAATAGCTTATATCAGTATAACAGTCTATGTCACTTTGAGAAGGATGCATCCCACAGAGTATTTTCTGAAGGAAGAGAGATAATTTCCCCCAAAATAACCAGGAGGGAAATGATTTATGTGATTGTCTTCAACATATGCTATTCATACATTAATCTGTGCAGTTTTCTGTTCAGCATGGCAAATCAATATGTTTGAACTCCCACCGAAACTGTTTCCACAGCTCTTCTACTGATTTGATAAGAAGTGCTTACTACAGATTCTTCTCCTTCCTTGTACACTCAGTGAGAAGAAAATAGAGTAAATAACACGTGATTTAAGCAAAACCTTTTACTTATAGATGATACCTGAAACAGAAGCTTGGATAAAGACAGGGAAAATAGTTCACATCATCTATCCAAGGCTACTATAAGTACACTTTTTAGGGAGGCACAGATTTTTTGAGAGGGAAAAACAATCAGGGACTTAATCTGTGAGTTGCTACTTGAATAAACCTATCAAGAGTTTCACTGACTCTCCAAGAGCCTCACTTCTTAGCTGGAACTTAGACTTCCTACTCTGAAAGTTAGGAACTGTGAACATCCCATTTTCCATCAACTTTGTACATCCAACTTCCAGGTTTTAATTAATTTTTATTTCTTTTATTCTATTTTTACTGCTCTGCTGCAATTACAGAAGTACCAACCTGGAATGCAGCCAACAGCCACTGCTTCTCATGGATAATAAAAACTAACGCATAGCCAACAGGATAATGGAGCAATAGTAACTCAATAATTGAACCTTTTCTGTATTGGCTTTGATAATCCTGTTTCCCTCTTTCAGGCCAATGAGAACGTTGCTGTAGAAATATCCACTGCTTAGACCAGTCATCTCTGTCACAGTGTCTCATGTCAGGTTCCTTTTCCCATTTCATATAGCAAAAATATTCTCATACTCACTTTCAAAAACTATCCTTGAAGTTTCTCTATTACTTTGCAACATTAATAATCTATGAATTTATTGATGCCCTTATACTAATACACTTCCATTAATGCTGACCTTGACATCCAACGTATATATTCTTCCTTGCAAGGGGAAGATCTTCAGGTCAAACCAATACCTTCACATAGGGCATATGCAGCCTTTCTAAACTTTTAAATCTCCTCTAATGTTGTAGCTATTCTGAATCTCAAAGCTCAGTTGATATTAACTAAGGATCTGTTTTGCTGTGATTTACTATAACAGTTTTGCCATCACATGCTCCTTTCCTATTGGCACACACCTTATATGTACGTATGGGGCACAAAAGCTTTTTTCTTACATTTAAAGTGTCTTTTAAAAGGTTGTGGAATACAAATAGGGCACATTTTTTGACCCATTACTCCTAATACATAGTCTGAAAGAGGATATTGGTATTTAAGAAAATAAAGAAATTACATCTTATTTAGTTTGGCCATATTACATTAAGTGGTGCCTAAGAGAATCTGTATTTCTATTTTCCATAGACTGTGTAAGAAGATAACCTGGTTGGACCAAACAGAATACAAAGGTACTCTGAACACAGCAACTTTCTCCTGCACCTGTCTAAAACAAGCATTCACCCAGAGAGAATAGACTGTAGGAAGCTTTTTCGCATTTCTTTGTTCTGAAGTAGCAGGGCTGAAAATACAGAGGACAGACAAAATCCATTAAGCGTACTGAGAAAGATTCATGGTGTCTAGACTCTTTCTACCTATTATTATGCTGGCAGTTTCAAAGAGGTGTCAATTTTCTGTGCCAAAATATGGGACTAAAACCGCAAATCTTCTTTTGGATTCATGAGAAGAACTATTTATTTGTGATTCAGGGTGAAAAGATACCTTATATGTGAGTATAAAAGTAGCCAGTTTTGTATTGCATATAAAATAGCCTTATAAACACTTCTTACACTGAAATGCTTCTAGATATCATGCTTTATATGTGGGACAAGCCCTGGGTATGAAATGTGCTTATTATTTAAAGGCTTGTTTTGATATATCAAGGTCTCTCCCATTCCTCCTGATCATCCTTTCCCTTGAAGGTTCGCTACCTGATTGAAATGAGAATTTCCATCCACTGCATCAAATAAGCAATGATCTGTTCTGAAAGCTTCTGTATTTAATGGCACTGCATGTGATTGGAGTAGGGAGAAGAGAAGGAAGTTTTCTTCCTTATCTCCCTGGTCAGCTCATTCAGTGTGATAAT